CTTCCTTTTCTGTTTTGAACATTTTAAAAATTGCATATATTTATTTGTTATAGTGTGTGTATGTGTATGTATGTCTGTGTGCCTGCACCTGCCTCCATGCATGGGTGGACGTGCCACTGTGCATGTGTGGAAGTCAGAGGCAAATCTGCAAGAGTCAGTTCTCTCTATCATGTGGGACTGAACTTAGGTACTCAGGCCTGGAGGCAAGCACCTTGACCTGCTGAGGCACCTCACTTGCTTTTACTGTTAATTTTTAAATCTTGTATTTATTATTTTTATTTTATGTGTATGACTGTGTCACCTGCATACTGTGTCATGCAATATGCAAAGAGGTCAGAAGAAGGCATTGAATACCCTGGAACTGGAGCTATAGACTGTTTTAGCCACCATGTGGGTGCTGGGAACTGAATCTGGGTCCTCTGCCAGAGCAGCCAGGGCTCTTAACCACTGAGCCATCTCTTCAGCTCCATTTTTCTGTTAATTTTAATGTGACTGGCTTAAGGATTAAAATACAGTGTTAATCAGGAAAAAAAAAACCCAATGAAGTTACATCTTTGTTTGTGATGTTGTGGACCTTGTACATATCAGGCAAGTGCTCTACCACTGAGACATCTTTATCCCCCAAATTCCCCAAACAGTAGTTATAAAGTTTGGGTGTGGACACACAAATATGTATAGAATGTGGGGTACAGTATGTCACAGTAGTCAAGTTATTGATTCTTAATGAAGAAACTCACTTCCCACACCTGTTTGTAATTTTTCAAAACTCTGAAAACTGCCTCTCACCTTTGCAAGGCGTTTGCTAGGATTCTCCAATAGTGGATTCCAGAGAGGGGGACAGGCGTGAAAAGGGAACAAGAGACTTCTCTTCTGTTTTTCACTATTTCTCCCAATGTCATTAGTACATAGAGCTGCACCCTGGCAAAGTCATTTTTGGCTTCCCCTCTCGTTTAGTACTCCCAGAATCAGATTTATCATCTCCCCAGTGCTACCAACAGCAGCTGGGCAGTCTTCCCTTCGCAAAGTCTGAGTCCCCCTTGATGGGGCTTCTTTAAAGAGTGATTTTTATTTTTTATGAATATGTGTTTGTCTGCATGTATGTAAGTGTGCCATGTGTGTGCCTGGGGCCTGTGGAGGCCAGAAGAGGGCATCAGATCCTTTGGAACTGGAGTTAATAGAGATGGTTGCCAGCCACGATGTGGATACTGGGTGCTGATCCCAGGTCCTCTGCAAAAACAGCCAGTGCTCTTACCAGCTGAATTGATGGTGTTTCTTTTCTGAACTCTGTGTTCCAACAGACCAGCCTGTTTGTACCTTCAGCCCTAGAAACCAGAGTTTATTCCCTTCAGTTATTATACATTTCTGCAGGTAATCAGGCTCTTAGACTCCATGAAATAAGATAATATTGAGGGCATACTGCTTAAATACATATATTACACGGAGTTGGAGTATAACTCAGTGGAAGAGCACGGTGCTTAGAATGCATGAAGTTCAGAGTTAGATCCCCAGCACACATATACACAGAAGCATATTGTAGGGTTTGGGGAGATGGCTCAGTTAGTAGAGAGCTTACTGCACAAGCATGAGGACGTGAGTTCATATTCCCAGCACCTACATAAAAAGCTGGCAGTGGTGGTGGTGCTTGTCTGTAATCCCAGCACTGGGGAGGTGGAGACTAGTGGATCCCTGGAGCTCGATAGTCAGTCGGCCTCACCAAATTGATGAACTCTGGATTCCATGAGAGACTCCATCTCAGAAGGTGGAGGGTGATTGAGAAAGATGCCTGCCATTGACCTCTGGCCTCTACACACATGTACACATGTACTCCCTGCAGGTAAACTTTAGGACAACCATTGCATTTTTTTAAAGCATCAAATGGGTTCATCTGCTGCTCTGGATTGTCTGACAGTGCTTCTCTTTTCACTCTACCAGGTACTGCAGGATTCAGAAATTTGGGAATTGGAAAGATTCCTAGTTAAGGGTCTCCCAGTGCGAAGTGCAGTTGCTTCTCACCATCTGCAGCAGTTATACCCTACTGTGTGAATGCCAAGCAGATACTGAACTTTTGATTTTTTAAAAATATTTTACGTGTATGACCTGCATATATGTAAGTGCACCCATGTCTCGCAATGTCCACAGAGGTCAGAAGAGGTGTCGGATTCCCTGGAACTAGAGTTATGGACGGTTGTTAGCCACCATGTGGATGCTGAGAATTGAATCTGGGTGCTTTGCAAGAGTAGCCAGTGCTCTTGACCGATGAGCCTTCTCTCCAGACCTGTTCCTCCACCACCCAGTTGCTTTGAAATGTAACCCTGGTTATCATCTAAGAGGCCAGTAGGAGACACTGGGAGGAGTACTGAGGGGTCTTGGCTACCTTTGAGAAAGGGCCTCTGTACACCACGTAGCACAGTGACAGCTCTAGTTCTATTATACAAATAATAGCTGCTAGTATTGTGACTTGTCATTTGCTGCAACAAAATACCTGACGAAACTGACAGAAGGAAGGGTTTCTTTTGGGTCACAGTTTGAGGGTGCAGTCCGTTGTGACAGGGAGGGCATGGTGGCAGGAGCTTGAAGCTGCTGGTCACATTGCATTCCCAGTCAGGAAGCAGGGAGTGATGAATGCTGCTGCTCAGCTCCCTCTCTGTTTCATTCAGTTGGGGACCCCGGCCCATGGAATGGTGGTGTCCACATTTTAGGTTGGTCTTCCCACAACAATTAACCCAATCTAGGAAATCTTTTACAGTTATGCCCAGAGGTTTGATTCCACAAAGAATCTAAATCCTGTCAAGTTGACAAGACACACTATCACAGATGCCATTTAGCAAGTATATGCTGAAAACACTATGCTAAACTCCGGTGCTTGTCCAAAGTCATGCGAGTAAATATAACAGTAGCTAAAGTCTCCTGGGCTCCTGTTAGGCAGCAGGCTGTCTTCCATCTATCATCCCATTTCATCCTAACAACAGCCTGTCTGAAAAGGGTGCTTTTTAAAAATATATTTTATTAGTTTTGTTTTACGTGTATGAGTGTATTGCCTGCATGTATGTGGGTGCACCCATGTCGTGCAATGCTGTAGAGGTCAGAAGGGGGCTTCAGATTCCCCTGGAACCGGAGTTAAGGACAGTTCGTAGCCGCTGTGTGGGTGCTGGGAATCGAACCTGGGTCCTTTGCAAAAGCAGTCATGTTCTTAACTGCTGAGCCATCTCTCCAGCCCCCGTGGGGTGCTATTTTTATGACAGTTGTCCATTTAAAACATTTCTTTAAAAAACGTGTGTGTGTGTGTGTGTGTGTGTGTGTGCGTGTGTGTGTGCACACTTGAGTGGGGAGGCCAGAGGCTTCAAATTCCCCTGGAGCTGGAGTTACAAGCAGTTGTGAGCTGCCTAATGCAGGTGCTGGGAACCAAACTTGGATCTTCTGCAAGAGCAGTGTACACTCTTAACTACTGAGAAATCTTTCCAGCCTCCATGACATTCATTCTTCAATAAGGAAACTACGCTGTGAAGTAACTTGCATTCATGCACATAGCTAGCTGCTGGCACAAACAGGCCTTGGACTTTGGTAGCCAGTCCCTGTAGATTAAAAAATATTTTTAAAATTATATTTTGTACGTGTGTGTAAATGTGGATGTGAGTACTGTGTAAGTGTGGATGTGGATGAGTGCTGTGTATGTGTGTAGGTGCACACTCGTGCACTTCTGGAGGCCAGAGAAGCATGTCAAGTGTCCTGCTGTCACTCTCCACCTAATTCCCTTGAGATAGGGTCTCTCACTGAACCTGGAGCTAGGCTGGCGACCAGCAAGCCCCAGATAGCTTCTTGTTTCTGATCCCCAATTCCCAGCGCTTGGGTTACAGGTATGGGCACAACCATACCCAGGTTTCTATGTGGGTTCTGAGAATTTGAACTCAGGTCCTCATGCTTGCACATGCTGACACGTCTCCCCAGGCCCCCTCCAGCTTTTTCACTCAGTTCTCACCCTGTACATCTCTGAATCCAGTCTCCCAACAGAACCATTGCACTGTGCATCTCTTGCTTTAAGGAAAACAGTTAAGAATATTCTTTGATCATTGCTGTTTTCTTAATGCAAAATAGCAGACGTTTCACCCAAGAGATCCTCTCTCCCCCACCCCAGACAGAAATGGCTCAATTTCTGCTATTTGTTTGTTTCTCTTTTCTGTCCAAATCTTTCCATATGCTGATGCTGCAGCAGAACAAATTAGAAAGTTATCAAATCGATGTTCTTCTCGTTTACATTTCGTCCCACCTCCTTTCTATGGGATGCATAACATAATTCTATGGTTCCGGACCTCCAGGCCTTCATGAAGCCATCCCCTGGCGTTGACAGTCTTTATAACTTAGCAACTCTGTGACTTTAAGCCAACGACTTAACCTCTCTGCTCACCGCATCTGCCTGGCCCAGAGTAAAAGGTTTGAGTGCAGAAAGACAAGTTCCAGGCCTATACCCCCAGCTTTGCACTTGGGCAAGACCCTCGTTAGGCCTAACTTTGCCCAGCTGTGGAATATACGTGGATTGGCCCCGAGGACCTCGAGTTGTCTTCCTGCCCTGACGTTCTGGGCTCTGACTACCTCCTCTGAGTCGTAAAGAATGGACACAAAGGTAATGTCTTGTCACAAAGCCTTTTTTTTGTTGTTGTTGAAAATAATAGATCCTAGGTGGGGATTTAAGGAGGACACGGGATGAGGCCTGAAAGGATGTGTGCAGAACGAGATGCACGGCTACTTCTAGGCAGGGGATGGGCGTGGCAGGCGGCGGGGCATGATGAGGGCAGCGGAGCATCCCTGCAACCGAGCGTCGCAAGGCTAACGCCAAGGCCCAAGCCGGCGAGGACCGCGGCTGCAGCGGTTGCGCACTGGCGCGACCAGCAGGGTGATTTGCGTGTCTCCGCCCCTGAGACGCGCTGGTTGGGGAGGGCCGGCCTGGCGCCGCATGCTGATTGGCTGTGCCGCCCGCCACTCAGGCCCAGGAGCGGACCGTTCCTACTGCGGCTGGGCACCGGCTCGGCTCCCGCGTCGGCCCTGCGCTTCAGGCTTGCGCCCGGCCCGGCCTCGGCCCCGCTCGGCCCGACTCGGCCCGGCCCTGGCCTCAGAGCGAAGGCGCCGCTGCCGCTGGGCCTCTCCCAGGGCCATGAGGAGGCGGCGGCAGCCCCTGCGGCCCGCGTCAAGGTGACCGGCCGGGACTGCGGCGGTGGCGAGAGCGGCGGTGAG